AATATATTTAGTGTGAATAAAATGTTTTCTTCTATGAGAAATTTTAAAAACACTACATAACTAAATATTCCATTTCTTTGTTAATTTGTATAAAAAAATTAAACTTAAAACAGCAACAATAAGTTGGACAAAATTAAGAAACCTACCAAACTTTGAGGGACTACCCTCAACAGATATAGAAGTGCATAGGTATTATTATATTTCAAAAGTTGTCAAAGCATAGGAACATCTAAAACCTTACCTTGAAGCACAAGCTAACAAGGCCAAGCTGTACTACTACTAATGAGCAGCGAAAGAATGATGGGTCTTTTATACGTGAGACAGAAGTAACGTTATCTACCATAATACATTCAAGACTCATCAGCCTCAGGAATGAACATCTATCAGTGAAGAAGGATGAATAAAACTTACGGAAAGGAAAAAAATTGTAATAACATGCAAAATTAATAAGTCAAAGGGCTATCCAGAAAAAACAGCAATTAGCCTGTCTTTGTCTCTCTCGTTCTATTTTTATTATTATCTGGAGATCCACAGCATAAAGAAGGTATGGAAGTATTGATTTGCAATCACATATCTGTTCCTATTTAAATAGCCTATAAAAAAAGATAAAACCCAAAGTCTGCATCCTCTATACAGCTCACTGTTTACCAAGTTAAAAAAGAAAATGTGTACTCTTGCTAGACTTCTTTGAATATGGCTTGTTTTGTAGGTTTGATTTTGTGACCATAAGATGGGCCTTCAAAAAGTTCATGGAAAGATTTGTATTATCTTTTAATTTTGTTTTTCCATGAACTTTCTGTAATACCCTCATATTTTACACAATTATAAAAAGATTAAATTTTTTACATAACGCCTAAAAACAAAATGTAAAATGAAACAAATGCATTTCACTGTGGGACCAGTTGGTGGCAAACCCACAAAGACCTGAGTAACTTTAAAGCACAGTAGTCGGTGGCGGGAGAGGGAGGGGAGAGAAGAGGAATTGGTAAAGGGACACGAAAATCAACTACATGGTATATGACAAAATAAAAAAAAGAAAAGAATTTAAAAAATAAAAATGATAAATAAAATAAAACACAGTAGTTGAATGGCACATTCTTAATGATATATGTACTAAAAAGAACATTGAAAATTTGTAAATATATATATATATCAATAACAGACGAGAACAACAAAAAATAACATTTCCAGTAATAATATTGTTGATGGCAGTGTTGTTAGACTCTGAGACTATTGCATTTATAGTATGGGATAAAGCAAATAAAAAATTATGGTGAGAAGGAGATATGGCATGAAAGAAAGAAGATACAGATAGATAATATAAGAATGACGATATTAAATAAAAACCCTACAGTCCCAAACCTGAATTGCCAAGTATTAGTATGAATTACTATGTACTTTATCTTTTATTTAAAAAAAAAAAAGGTACATATCTAGATCTATTCACTGACAAAGCCTATAAACAATGACTAAATTAGTAGCAATAAGAATCTCCCATGCTCAGATTGTGGTCACTAAATACCATGCCCAATTAAAGAAACCAGAATTCCTTGGAAAAATGGCTGATTCTAGATCTGGAGCATAAAATGTTCAAGATAAGCTAGCTACTTCTTGTCATACCAAAAAGCAAGAAAGGTATCAATGACAACTATATTCATGTCAAAAGGACTCAGAACACCTTGAACAGAATTCCTCTGGCCAAAGACAGAACAATTTAAACATCAAGAACGATAACTGTAATAGATTTTGAAACATAGTATTTTTAATTCCACAAGTTCATAATAACAATCAAAAATAAAAACTCACAGGCCACTTTTGAAGGAATGGTTAACTATCAATCCATAAGGTAAAGTTAATGTAGATACATCTCTTTGGAAATCTCTTCAAATGCTATTCATATCACACCTGTCATTTCAATAACTCAAATAAGATTCAACTGTTCAAATCATAGGGGAAAGGGTGTAAAACTAATTGAAACATTCTGTATGAAGAGTGAAGCATGAGGGAAAAAGAAAAATGAAAGTGTTACCTGATCAAAAGTATGGTATAAAAAATGGAAAGATTACCCCCCCCAAGAATCATCATATACATGTATTTTATGCATTATAATTAATATGTCTACATATATGTCTTGGTGAAATAAAACATACCTATAGATAAGTTACATATCAATGATTATGAGGAGTGCTCAGAGCCTAATGGTTTTAAAAACTGCTAACATTTTAGGTACCCATTACCAGTGGACTTTAAATATTGCAAGTATTTTACAAAGACAGCTGTCTTTAAAGTTTGGTTCCTGAGGAAAAATACAAACCCAGGAGATATACCCCAATGTTCAACATCTTTTAAGAATTTCAACTTTGGATTAAATAAAAACCCGAAGGCCAACATTGAGAAAATATTTTTAAAATGTCCCAGAAAAATCACATGTGCTAAAGGTTATCCTTTCATGGTTTTGTTTTTTCAAAAAGATGACTACTACGATTGCACCACATTATCAATCCCTGACCCTTTCTGATGCCTCGTCCAGCTAATCATTACCATCCCACATGTTTCTGAAATACTCCCTCAAAAACTACAGCTCTTCACCTAGTTTACATACTCTAAACCATCTATCCCCTAGTATGCTTTCCGTCCTATTTTATTTTTACTGTTCTGCATCACTTCCTATCAACTGCTGAGGGAGTGCTCAGATAACTATTAGGGCCCAACCTCCTATTATAGTGAGATTTGTTCTACTTACATGGTCCCAAGGCCAAGATAAAACCAAGATGATACTTCCTCAAATGATATAGAGCCCTCAAACTTTGGTAAGCCCAGATTTCCAAGTGGTCCTATTCATACAGGTTATTAATTCTAACTTAACTGTGGCTTAACCAAAATTAGGCCTCCTCCTAAAATACTCTACTAAAAACTCTAAGAAGGTAAACCATTTTTCCCCAAAACTTTTCTAATGCTTTGTGCAGTCAGTTGCCACTAGACTAAGCCAATTTAACTGAACTAAGCCAATTTAAGTGAAAATAATTCAAGATAAATTCAGCTGCCATCCTTTCCCATTACAATTTACACATTACATGAGATATAGCATTGTGGAAGGGAGGGCAGAATGGATTACTCCAAACAGTGGGTCTCAACAGTATGGCTAGTTAGCAGAGGCACCTCAAAATGGTTTCTAATCCCCACAGTAGCACAGAGACATTCTCTAGACTATATTCACAAGATCAGAAACCTCAGTGAAATCATTTCAGGATAGAATATAACTCAGATTACACATCTGGATCTTCAGCTACATTCAAGAAAAGTCAACTGCTTAGAAATATTGTCACATTTACATTCCTAAAGGCAATCAGAAAAACTGCTAAGCAAATGGTATGAATAATACTCTTATTTCTCCCAAAACTCTGAGAGCATTTAATAAATGTTTGTTGAGTAAATTGCTTTATTTCATGGAATACATACTGTATCTCCTAAAATTTCTTTTTAACACTTCCCCAAAATAAAAAACAGCCCAAAAGCAACCTCTTTAAGTATATGTAACCAACATATACTTAAATTTCTATAGTGGTGTCACAGAGCCCTAAAATCCAACCACACTGTCCTTCAGGGAAATTGCATTCATGCTATACAGCACCTGACATTAATAGTAAAAATACACTACACAAAAGCAACCAAGGATTCTAAAATCCAAAACTAGCACAATTAATCTATCACACTTATTTTAACACATAAGCAGAATTGTACGAAAATAAGCCTCCACAAATCCTGCCTGGATTTAGGAAAAATGTAATAATAAACTGGCATAATAATGAATAAAGAAATCTAAATAAAGCTAATGGAAGTGCAGCAGCATTTGTAAATGAAAGCTCATCAGGAGTCATTGAAAAGCACTCTCATGGTTTACTGCCTAAAGCTGTCAACTTGAAAAGCCTCAGAAAATCATCAAGAAAACTAGTTCCCTACCATAATAAATATACCACCAGTTCAAAAAAGAAAGAAAGGAGGGGAAGGGGAGAGGGAGGAAGGGACTAAGGGAGGATCTGGGGAAACATCATGACACCTTAGTTAAGCCGACAGCCAGAAGAAAACTTCCTACTACATTCCTGCTCAATGGTCTTCTGTTAAAACATCTTTACTGCCTCTTCCTTAAGATAGTGCCCAAAATGAACTTTCGGCCACTTCCAAACAATGTTGAAACCTAGACCAGCACTGTCCAACAGAACTTTCTGTGGTAATGAAAATGTTTTGTATTTGCACTGTCCAACACGGTAGCTACTAGCCATATGTGGCTACTGAGCACCTGAAATGTGTCATATGACTGAGGATCTGAATTTTCACTTTAATTTTAATTAACTTAAATTTAAATAGCCACACGTGGTAAGCGGCTACTATATTAAATAGTGCCACTCAAGAGTCAAAGTTGCTGATATTTTATTGTTAAAGGCAGTTTTATTGACAAAATGTACCCAAGTAGAAGAGTGGTTGATTCTATCTCAGAGAGGCATGAACTCAAGAGGGAAAAAAAAAATGTTCTTCAAGTACATCTTTAAATATTGGCCCACAAGGCTCCTAAATACTGAAATATATAACCTGAAGCTGTCTTATTAAACTTCAGGCCAGGTGAATTTAGGAGTTAGAAATAATTTTTATGATTTGCAAGATAAAAGTAAGTCACAAAAGATAGTATAAAATAAATCTAGAAAGTTCCAAGATTTTGCTTAAACCTTTTAAAAATAAAAGCAATTATTCATCCCACATCCCAAACCACCCACCTCTACATCCCTATTTTAAAAACAACCCCGTCTCAATTATATGAGAACTACTGCCCTTATCACATTTTAATCTTTGATTACCTTCAGTTTAAAACTTTGTTATATTTGGCTCTGTTAGGTAGCATTTTCTAATAATATTGAGACATATTCCTAAGAAGATTGTAAAGCATCATGAGAATAGGAATAGTAGTTCAACAGATAACTATTAAAATAAGTTGAAAGAATACAAAAAAGTTTTTGAAATGTTTATTAAATTACATATATACAACATTTTCTCTAAGGAAGCCAAATCTACCAGAGAATCATATTATACCTCTGTAATCAAAACTTAAAGTTAGTTTATAAATAATATCCTCTTAGAAACACATGAGATTAAGTTACTTATTGTTTAATAATGACAGTTAATTTTTACAAATGATTAGAGATTATACTATTATTTTCCTATTTGAACAAAAGTAACTCAAGAAAAATAGATTCTCTCACGTGAAATCATCAAAACTTCTGAGCATCAAAGAATTCAATCCCACAATCTTCTTCTCAACCAAGTATACTACAACAGTATGTCTTATAAGCTGGCCTTTTCTACTAGAAAAAAAAAATTTTTAAGGTCCAAACAATTACAGATAGCTAGAATTATTCATAAATACAGCACATATGGAGCAAGTTAAATAAAATATGTTTCTCCAACCTAATTTGGTATTCAAAGTTAATCTTCTACAGGTCACATTAAAAAGAAGAAAAATTTTAACCTACTTTCTGAGCAAAACACATGTACAAAAAACAAAATCAAATATGTTCAGCTCTAACAATCAAATTCTACACAACAGGCTTAAAATACTATCAAGAATCCCAAGTAATTCCTAAACATACACAGTCCTTACAAACAATAAAACTATAGCAGAAAGACACAGAAAGAATTATAACATACATTATCACCTTTCTTCTGAAACTAAAAACCCCAGTACAATCTCAGAAAGTTGAGAGTTATGCTCAAGGTAACTCCTTGACATGCTGCCATTAGATCAAGAAGATTGTCTTCTGGGATGTTGCTATGGCAATCAGAGATGGCTATCCTAAAAAGAAAAAAAACAACTACTATTGTCAATTATAGTCTCAATACTAGCATCTAAAGACAAATCCTGTGCTAGAAGAAGAGCCATTTATAAATGAAGAATAAAGCCTACTGCTCCCATAATTTGCATGTCCTGATGAACATTTAAAGTTTAGACTTCAGTTCTCACACCCCTCCAATAAACCAAGCAGATTTCCTTTCCCACCAATTCCCTTTCACAAGGATGGATAGATGGATGGATGGATGGATGGATGGATGGATGGATGGATGGATGGATGTGGATGGATGGATGGATGGATGGATGGATGGATGGATGGATGGATGGATGGATGGAAAGGGGGGCAGGAATGAGGACAAGAAGGAAGAGAGGAAGGAGGGATCCTAGCTATATAAAAACAAACCAGGAATTTTTATGTTTGAACTGATTGCAAATCAAAGGCAAAGGCAAATATGGAGGGATAAATATTTCTAAGTAAAAATAATAATAACACTAAAATTATTTGCAAGTTTCTTCTGGAGTACCAAAGCTTTTTTGGTTTTTTTAACCACTTTTTAATTTATTCTTCCAAGTTCCCAAATCTGATGCTTCTGATTTACCTACACATAATGATCATGACCAAATAAGAGATCCTTTTCTTTCAAGGGGCATATTTCTGGTAGAGAATTACTCAGCTACAAGTTAGAAAAAGCCAAGAAATTCTTTCTGAAATCTTTGCTCATCAGCCCAGAATTTAAAGTCCAATTCTTCTAGCAATCATGGCATTACATCCATTTTGTATACATTCCCTTTATTTCTCTCTCTCTCACACTCTCTCTCTCCCTGTCTCACACACACATACACCCCTTGGGGGAAAAAACGCTAAAGAATCTTTAAAAGTACAATTAAGTTACAATAAATAAGTGTGGGATTCCTTAGTGAGGTAAACCACTTCACTGGGTACAAAGTTCTAAAAGTTCTTTTTTTTAACCAAAAGGTCAGGTTAAATAATAACTATAAAATATAATATCCTCCTGTTAATATGTTGTAGTCATGGTAACAAAAAAGAAATCTAAACTGTTTCATGGACCATCTGACTCATCTTGTTATGCAATAACTCAGTTCTTAGAATCAAAAGCCATTTAATGAAAGTGGAATTACTCACCAAGAAAGTTTCTCTCCTCCCTTAGACTGTCAAAGGGTCAAGGAAGAAAACAACCTTGGGAACACCTATTTCAAAGGTGTGAAGTATAAACCAAAAGCCTAATAACACAAAATCAGCATTTCAATACTATATTTATATTCATCCCAAATTTGGATGAAATATATATAATACCAAATCTATCTGGATGTGGGCACTAGCAATGTCTTTAAAAAATATGATATTCAATAACAGCTTTTTTCTCTTGACCTCCTTCAAACAACTGAGGCAGGAATGAGTAAGAATGATTGGCTCAAAATCACTTTATTCAACATGCTCAAAAGCAAATAAAATAGCCCAGGCTATATTGTAACTAAAAACCTTTTTATCTAACTCATTGCAGTTTCCACCAAATAGCCAGTAAGTGTATTTTGGTTAGCTCTGCACTACTTTTATCACACACACAAACAAATCCTTAAACATAATAATCTTTGCTGCCCCACAGACTGATGCATTTATTGGACTGATAAACTAAATATCAGGTCACCTTATTTAAAAGTGTAAGCCCATCATTCTGGCCTCACACGACTACTATCAAATAATACATACTAATGTTTTCAGAGCACCCCTCATTTTACAAACTATCAAAATCTACATTAAAATGTTAAAGGATCATTATATATGTATAAATTGAACTAACAATAGGTTAATTCCTTTTAAATGTTCCAATAAATAAGCATGTTTTTTGAAAATATGATTAAAAATATTTTTTTTGCTTTATTTATGCTCAGTAATCTTGCATACTATAATATGATCTTTGTGCTTTTTTCCCCACAAGTAGTCTAAATGATAATCAATGCTTCTTTTAAGTTAACATTCCCTAATATCTTTCAGAAGTGACAAAAGCATATTACAGGCTATCTTTCCCAACAGTCTTGGAAAAAGACTGTATTCCACATAACCTTTAAACGCTTTGTTGATTGTCTAAAGGATAAAGCCAAGGAAGTCTTACACAATCTGGTTCCTATCTATCTTTCCAGCCTCAAACACCCTCACCTATCCTGTCCCCTCTTCTACCCTTATCCTAGAAGCCCTGAAGACACGGAGTTACTCAGATTCCAGTTCAATTCAATTTCACCTGTCCTGCTAACATATAAAAACCTAAAGTACTGGGACATCTTTCTTATTTTCAGATCCGCAATGCCTAGCATGGTATTTTGGAAAGAGTGATTGTTCAATGCATGTTTAATGGATAAAATAAATCCAAGCCTCTTTCCCTACAATTCATTGATTAATTTTAATACCAATAACTTAAAACTCTCTTTTCACAGAAATGTTCAATATTTAAGGATCCAAAAACCAAACGTGATTAAAAATATACAAAACTGCAATTTAATGGCCCTTACTGCATCAAACCAAGAATGACGGAACAGCCTCCTAACACTCCCCTTACCACCACTTCCCTTCCCCAATTTATTTAAGATACTGCAGCCCAGATAGTCCTCAGAACTGTTGACATAATTCTTTGCTCAAGACTCTCGAGAGATCCCTCTAATGGTTACTGAATGGTGGTAATGCATTAACAACCCAGTATTCAAGGTTCCCCACGATCTGATTTATACTGTCTTTCCAAATTTATTTCTTCCTCTTGTATTTATCACACCCCTCTCAACAGCCAAGCTGAAATTCTAGCTATAACCTGTACTTCACTGTGCCCTTGCCCTAGTTTGTCATTTATACTAGACTGTCTTTCCTCTCTCCTGTCCCTGAAAACCTCTTATCCCAATCCACTCTCTGAAGCATTGTTTTAAATGCCACTTCCTCTGTAAGACTTGCCTAATCCCTATAGCCACAGGTAATCTCTACAATTCTAAATCCCCAGAGCACTTTATCTGTACCTCCATTATGGTTCCTACTACATGTTAAAGTGCAGTACTGTTACTGATAGTCATCACTCCTACTAGCACCTAAACCTTCAAGAATCAAGGTTTGGCTCAGGAAAAGGGGGGAGAGAGATGCTTCTGGAAGAAAGCGATGCAAAGGTCATGCAGTGGTTGGAAAAAGTGAAAACCATGGCAATGGCAGGCTCAAGGAGAACACCAAGTTTAGTTTAAACATGTACGGACTGCTAGGAAAAAAACTGTGAAAGGTCATTTTACTGGTCAATGTAAGAAGCATGCAGCCATGCTAGGTACTGAATCCATTTTCTCACGTTCCATCCTCAGAAACATCCTATTTAATGTAGGGAATTCAGCCTAGTCAAGAGAAATTTGGTGGCTTGAGAAACAGTTATTGGAGCAAAGACCAATGTGTCATTATTGTCTTTGATTTGACACTGAGTATCTCCAACAAAGATGTATCTATCTAACTGGCAAGAAATCTGGTATCAATGTATAAGAACACCACATAGTAATATATGGCAGCAAAGGTAATGTTAAGGACAGAAAACTTTGGGTAAAAGCCACTGCCTTCCACTCAAAGAAGAAAGCTTTAACACTTTGACATTTTAGATGATTTAACATAAGAACACCACATAGTAATATATGGCAGCAAAGGTAATGTTAAGGACAGAAAACTTTGGGCAAAAGCCACTGCCTTCCACTCAAAGAAGAAAGCTTTAACACTTTGACATTTTAGATGATTTAATGATGATTTGGGAAGTCTTTCCCTTTGACTTGATAGAATATTAATTGAAGACCCTAACCCAATTATGTTGAAATGTGTGCTGTCCCCTATGAAGGTTATCGCTGCCCAGGAAAGACAAGTGACACATGAGCATGACTAAGAGGCTGCTCAGGCACCTACCAACCTGAATGAAGATAATAATCTATGTGGGGAATAAAGCAGGAGCGAAGTAAGAGAAATTGAGTTTTTAATAAGCAACTGTCTTATGGTATATCTTTATGGCATAAACTTAATCTTGGGAAGCTGGAGGAAATAAATGACTTTTTTTAAAACTTTGTAATTTGGACATGCAAATTTAGCTGTCTTAAACCCTAAATACATACCCCTTGAGTTTCAAATATAGAATTAGTAAAGTCCTATCATCCTCCTCCCCCCACCAAAAAAAAGTTCAAGTCTAGCTCATCTTTCTATCATCCCAACGTAATGACATCTTACAAAAGACAAATGGAGTTATTGGTTTTTTCTAGCTTTCCTTAACAGTGTCCAATAACTTTAATCTAGCTCCATAAGTAAAACAGTCTCTTCAAAACTGATACATAATACTAATACTGATACTGATACTGGCAATTATTAACTCCTCCCCCTAAATATAACAAAGTCAAGGTCAGTTTTTATCCTGTTCAAAACAACAAGCACTTGAAGACTCCTTGCAATGCCAACAATTATAATTATGTCAACCAGCCAACATGTACAACAAAAACATGCTTTTTATATCCAGCATGCCTTTACCCTACCTCTGAAATTCACAGTTGAGTACTCTCTGTACTTTTTGGCATTTTCCAGAAATTCAGTCTTCAGAAAACAGTTGCATATTTAAGACACCAACATTTTTATGTGTGACATTAAGACCAGACTTTTGAGAAAAGGATAAAGAAGTTTTTAAAAACTCTCCAAATTTCTTCTCCAAATAATACCAGAAAAAATCTGTAATTTAACAGAGGACTTATCAGCTTTATGCAAAGCATTGAAGGCAGGCAGTGAAATATTCTAGGGCTGGTTTTCCCAAAGAATTTACTACATTTAAAATTCAATGGTAACTTAAATTTTCCTCACTATTTCCATAAATCCAAATGCCCACAAAGGAAAACTTCAAAAACTTTTTCTACTACAAAAGGAATGCAAATGAACTGTCTACATATATATTTTTTTAAAGATCTAAATAAGTGTATACCATAAGAATTTACACCATAGTTCTTAC